TGCAATGGTAGTTGCCCTCCCCCTGGACCAAGTGACCTAGATTCAAGTACCAATTGATCCAGAGGTGTGTAATAACATCGCTGAACAGGCTGATTAGAAAAACTGGTTAATGAAAAAAAAATCTTTTGAGAAAAAAGGGGATTCAGAGAGTCTCCTGACTTCAGGGACTGACTCCGAGCTGGCTGGTCACAGCCAGTGTACTGTGCACACATAAATGAAGGGTGACTTGGTGATGGAATAACTGTGCAGTTATTTCAGCATCTAACATTTTCTAATTTTGATGGAGGATCACTGAACTTAAATGGCTCTTCACGGATACAGCCTTATTGTTGAGCATTTCCAGCACTTTCACTTTCTCCTCAGATTTCAATCAACCACAGTACTTTAAAAAAAAATTCCCAAGACCTGTTCTACTGTTCCTCTGTCATGCACCCAAGTTTTATATTTGGCACAAGGTAACAAGATTATTTGAATGGAGGTCAAATTGTGCTCAAACGTATCAACTGCCTTCATATAATTCAGAGGAGTTGAGTAGCTACGTACAACTTGACATTATTTATATTTTGACAGAATAATCTAGATTTAAAAATTGGCAATAGAGCACCATACTTTTCCTTTTCATTCCTTTCAAAATCATAAGCATTCTGATTAAGTTACTGACTGGAATTAGATTTCTTGCTGGAAGCAAAGTTAACAAATGGTGATCAAAAAACAGTTAGTCAACAGATCCACCTCTCATTGGAAAGTACTTCCCTCCAAATTAGTATTGTAAAAAAATTTCTGATCTCACTGATACACATAGCAAAGCAACGTGACATAAAATCACTCAGGACTGTTTGTTGTTATAGATAGCGGAAATCAGGTCAGGCTGATTAAAGAGTCTGGACTTCTTCCGTTACTATATTCTTTAAGAGGTTGGAATCTTTGTTGTTATATAGGAACATTGGAACATAAGAACAGGAGTAGGCCATTCAGCCCATTGAGCCTGTTCTGCCATTCAACGAGATCATGGCTGCTCTATGGCCTAACTCCACATACCTGCCTTTGGCCCATATCCCTCAATGCCTTTGCTTTTCAAAGGTTAATCTATCTCAGATTTAAAAATAACAACTAATCTAGCATCAACTGCCATTTGCGGAAGAGAGTTCCAAACATCTTTGCGTGTAAAAGTGCTTCCTAACATCTCTCCTGAATGATTTTTAGATTATGCCCCTAGTTCCAGAATCCTCAACCAATGGAAATAGTTTATATTTATCGATCCTGTCTTTTCCTGTTAATATCTTGAAGACTTCGATAAAATCACCCCTTAGCCTTCTAAACTCTAAAGAAACAAACTTAACTTGTATAATCTCTCCTCATAACCTAACCTCCAAAGTCCAGGTATCATTTTTGTAAACCCACATTGTAATCCCTCCAAGGACAATACATCCTTCCTAAGGTGACGTGCCCAGATTTACTCATAATACTCCAAGTGAGGTCAAACCAGGGTTTGTATAGCTGTGCATAGCATCTGTATCCGTGCACTCCAAGAGCTAGCATTCCATTAGCCTTCCTGATTATTTTCTGCACCTGTTTGTGGCATTTCCTTCTTTGTTTTCAATTGCATCAGTACCAGAATCAGATGCAGCAGTCTACACGTGCTAATTTTTTACAATGTTGCCCTTATGAGAGCAGTGGGTTTCCAGAATTGCTTCACCTCTAATGGACAGGAATTAGCTTTACTCTTCCATACTTGGCAGAAGAGTGGAGCGAGGAGGTGGTAAGCCTGCATGCATTTTTCGCACAGAGAAATGGTGGAACAAGAAGATAAAAAAAAGATACAGGCAGCCATCTCAACTCATCAAATAATGAGGACAAATTGACAATGTTATTAGTAAGCCTACCTCTGTGCCAATTGGCCCAGGTTCAAATCCTGCCTGTTCTAGAAGTGTGTAATAACAAAATATCTAAAAATGCAAATTGAATGCTTAGCTTCATAATTAGATTACGTAGGAGTTCAATAACAAGGAATTTATACAAACACTCAGAAGTTATTGGTTAGGTCTCAGCTAGAGCATTGGCACAGATTTTGTAAAGAACTACACTTGCATTCATTACTCTGATAGCTACTCATGGGCTTTTCACTAGTTTCTGAGCTGAAACTTGCGTTAATTTGACATCAGTGATGTGCGCTAACAGAGGAAATAACAATGTGATTCTCACTGAAACTTGCAGGGTTCAAATGGCAGGTATACTTTATATTTAGATTGTGCACAAAGAAATGGAAAGGAAAGTAAATTCAAGAGAAAGCAACAAAGTAAAAATATTTTTAAAAGTGTTCAAAACTAGGGCAGATAGTGACCCTACATTTCTGAAACTTTCAGTGCCAATGAGGTTGTTTGACAGCAGTTATGATGAATTAAAAATGTATTTAAAATAGCCTTTTTTGGCATATTTAATGGTGGTGCTGGCAGTAAGTGGTAGTCTGACAAAAACATTTTTATATAGAAGTTATTAATTAGACCGTACTACTAAAAAGGCATTGTAAACAGAATCAATAGTAACTTTTCAAAGGTAATTTAAAAAAGGAAAATATTTTCATGGCTGCTGGGAGAAAAAAAGTGGGGTGGACTAACAGGTCTTTCAAAAAGAGAAATCACTGGCAAAATAGGTTAACTGGCCCCTATCTGTACTGCAAACATTTATAATTCTAGGAAATAAAGTTATTAAGCTCAATATGGCATTTGATCTTCCACTTTCATGGCCAAATATTTTTTCTTAAATTAAGTACTTCAACCAGTTAAATGTTTGATTCAAATTGTGGCAACATTTAATTAAGATTACAGTTTGCAGTTTTAAATTCGCCTTTTTGAACAGCATTGCTTCTCTTAGTGAACTGAAATCTGTTAAATTACTTTTTCATTCTTAAGGGAGTGGCAAATCCATATTCGATGAAGAATCAGCAGTTTAGCAAGAACGTGGTGCAATAGTCTTTGTAGTTGCCAATGTATGCTCCATATAATCCCATCATAAGTTAAAAACGTGAATAAGGCTACCAATATAATTTTTAACAGTTTATGAACTGGGCTACTTTAAATAGTTAGACTCCACTGTTTTAAAAGCATTAAAATATTTCACAACATTGTACTTTAAGAAAGAACATATTTAACATATGATTAACAATTAAAAAGATGAGCTCACATTCAGCTTAAAGCAATCACAAAATATGATGCTGACACACAATGGGCTGAATCATTGCAGAAGTCAGCCAAGTGTCATTTTTGTTGAATTTGAAGGAGGTTTTCTCCACGCAAGGCTTAGTACATTTTCTCAAGCTCAAACTCGCTTCATTAACTTTGTGTCAGGCCCCTATAGCACCCCCTTGTCCAATACTAGCCTGTTCCTTGGACTTACCCTAGACGGAGTGCTCCCACTGCCAGGGCATCCCTGCAGTCCTGGTGCTGATGCCATATTTAAAAGGTTAGCATGTGTCCAATCAAGCACTCTCAGTTCACAGCTGTCCTGCATGGTTTGTGACTTTTGTTCCTCACATGGCAAATAAGGGCAATTGATGTTCTGCTCTGTCATAGGGATCTGGAGCGTTGATGGACAGGGTACTGTGGAGGAGAGCTAGTCTCTTCCCCCTGGACAGGCAGAGCAGATTCCACTCCAGACTCTGCCAGACTGGTCTGAGATTGCCACCCAGGTCAGTGCAGTCTGGAGGAATGCCCAGCAACGTCGCAAGAAGAAGGAGTGCCAACACTCTCTCTTTTTCCTATCTCACAGTCTCTGCTACTGCACACCCCTCCCACTAAGGCGCAGGCTCTTCTACCTTCAATTTTGCATGTAACATCTTCCCTCACCAACCCAACACTCCCACACCACTGACCATTATGACTTTTGCCTTAACTGCACCAGCATTAACGTCTGTGCCAGATACATTGATCTAACTCAATCCCTCCCTTTGTCTCATTCCAGGATTAAATAACCCAAAGTAGGGCAGAAAGAGGTGCATGACATTTGGCTCCTCATCTCCTATAAGGATCGGTTCCTGACCATGACCACCCTGACTATCTGACTAACCATACCAAAAGTCCCCAGACAGACAGCAGACAAAGCCCTTGACTTACTGTGCCGGGACTCCCTGCCTGATGGGTATCTCCCTTGACTTGACTGAAGATTACACCCATCAGACTTTGAGACGTGGCCAGTTGATTGAAGCATGTGTAATGCATTTGGCTTGTACACAACATGGTGAAGGTGGAGATTGGCACAGTATGGTGCTGTACTTTGAAATGTTGGTGCTGTGTGTCCAAGATGGAAGGCTAAAGGAGCAAGTGACAAGGTAGTCACCGGGTAACCCACCCTGGCCTTCATGTCAGGAATTGTCAGTGTATAGGTTCTGTTAGAGGTTGGTAGAATTGGAAACAGCATTCTAGCTTAACAACTGAAAATTAATCCCTTCAGCTATATTAAACTGCATCAAAATAAAACAAAATCATTGCTAGCTCAGCTTTTTGCATGCTGTTTCCCTTCCCATTGCAATTTGCCCATCCATTACGTTAAAAGATGATATGCCTTACTGCCCTTTTGACAAAGAATGTGTTACTGTGTCATTTTGGACATAAACATGATCACATCAGAAGCAGATGGGTAACCCTGCTAAAGACTTAATGTGTAAACCATGAGGCACATGAAAATTCCACACCAACAGGATCATCATTGACCACTTTGCAGTAATTTGGATTTGTAATTTGAATGCAGATTTTTTTTTAACCTCCACTACAAGTGTGACATTAGAACTCTTCAAATTGTTGACACAAAAGCATTTTAGCCTACAGCATTAGGGGATTTAGAGACTTTAGATACATACTAACTGATTTTTAAGTTAAGTTTTAGACCATCTTTGTCATAGGGAAGCATAAATATTTTTCAATATATTTCATAGTGGCCTATTCAGATCATGTCCCAATGCCAAATTGAAGTAAACAGTACTTAAAGAGAATTATATACTGTTTTACCGTCTTCGTGTTATTTACTTCTATTGATGTCAATTCCAGTCTCCGCGTTTCATTATTATTATGTGCGGGAGGGGCACTCTCGACATCCATGAGGAGTTACTGTTTACACCTGCAATAAACAAACACAAATGTACAGTAGTGGAGATTCTAGTACAAACTTATACCTAGAATAAAACTTTCATAAACTTGATTAAAAAAGAGAGAGAAACCTCAGCACAAATATAACACTAAAATAAGAAAAGTTTAAACTTTTTTTATATACAGTTGAATATCCAATAACATTGGACTGTCGCTGGAAGTAAACCTGGCGCTCCATCCACGCCGAGTTTTCTATTCACGGATCTGGTCCGAGTTGTTCCCTTCCAGCCGCAGCTGTCTGAACCTACACTGTCTAAAGCGATTGCACGTAGCAACATTCAAACACATACCCGACGTCTCTGTACGGCCAAAGTTAGCAGAATGGACCAAGGAAGCATTCAATGAATGTCACCTCGCTGTGAAGTTACTGCCTCGCACTTCAAAACTGTTATCAGCCCGAATCAACGAGCTTCTGAGATAGGGAAAGTAACCTAGGTGCTAGGCACCTAGACAGAAGTCTACTTCCTGACGTCCTGGATCCTGTGCTGTGCCCGCTGCCCGCTCTGCTACTAGTTCAGCCGCACGCCCGCCACTCATTCTGCTAACACTACCCTCCAGCATTTTGATTGGTCCCGACACACTGTCAATAACACCCACCCTCCTGGAGTACAGTGCACATCACAACATTCTCATGTCTACTTTTAGCTAAACTAATGGCAACAGGTTTTAAAAATCAAACATTTGAACGAGGAAATAAGTGCCCCTTCTGAAAACGGAAAACGCTAACAGTTTTAATGGATCAAGTTTTTAACGAATCAAATAAAATAGCATTCCCCCGTGGGATGATTGCACATCAGGTACCTATGTCTTTCGGAACTTTGCTAGCTATGTGCAGGCAAATACGGAGCCACTTTGAGCTTAAGAGGTAACCATAGCTTCTTTAACATAAGAACAAGTAATATTCCCCCAAAGTGGTGTGAAAAAACACGTGCTTTCCACATTACAAAAGTGACTACAATTGTAATTATACTTCAAATGTACTCAATTGATTGTAGTAGCACTTTAGAACCTTGGCAAATGCTGTGCCCGAGACCGTAAGAAATTGCAGAGTGTTGTGAACACAGCCCAGTCCATGATGTAAACCAACCTTTATACCTATTGACTTTGTCTGTCCTTTTGGCTGCCTTGGAAAAGCAACCAACATAATCAAAGACCCCTCCCACCCCGGGTTACACTCTCTTCCACCCTCTTCCATTGGACAGAAAATACAAACATTTGAATACATGCATAAACAGATTTAAGAACAGCTTCTTCCCTGCTGTTATCAGACTTTTGAATGGACCTCTCAAATGATAATGTTGATCTCCCTCTCTGCACCTTCTCTGCGACTGTAACATTGTATTCTTCACTCTGTTCTGCTACGCTGATGCACTTTGTATGGTATGATCTGCCTGTATATCTAAACAACACTTTTCACTGTATCTCAGCACACGTAACAACAATAAATCAAATCAAACCAAAAATTGCTCGATGAATGCAAGTTAATATATGCAAGCCTATGTACTATCACAAAAAAATTAATATGAAACCATACAAGATGTTAAAACATAGGAGTGGTCTATCCCATTTGCAGTTCTGATGGACATTGTACACAAAGGATGTCATGAGATTGGGAAAATGTTCTGCAAAAGGGCAATCTGACAGACATCCGACATCAGAAAGTTAAACTATCAAGCTGCTGAAACTAAATGTGTTCACACTGAGGAACTTTAAAGAAGTATTCAATACCTACAAGTTGAGAGGGCAGTGTAATTGGGCACAACTCTCAAGAAACAACAATGTACAATTTTATTCACTGTATTCTGAAAAAGGCTTTAAGCTTTGGAGCTAGTGCAGCAATAAATAATGAAATTGACAACTGAAGTTAAACAGAGATAGTAAGAACTGCAGATGCTGGAGTCAAAGATAACACAGTGTGGAGCTGGAGGAACACAGCAGGCCAGGCAGCATCAGAGGAACAGGAAAGTTGATGTTTCCGGTTGGGACCCTTCTTCACAAATAGGAAGGGGGAAGGGAGCTCAGAAATAAGTACAGACGAGGGATGGGGCTGGGGAAGGTAGGTGGGATTGTGATAGGTGCGTGCAGGTAGGGAGTGGTGAGGATTGGTCAGTGTGGTGGGAGGGGCGGAAAGGTGGGAGAGAAGATGGACAGGTTGTGCCAGGTCAAGGAGGCAGGGATGAGAGGGAGTGTTGGTCATGGGCTGAGGCCGGGGTTGGGGAGATTTTGAAACTGGTAAAATCCACATTTAGGCCATTGGGCTGTTGGCTCCTGAAGGTGCTGCTCCTCCAGTTTCCGGGTGGCGTCATTGTGACACGAGAGGAGGCCCAGGATGGACATGTCACCCAGGGAGTGGGAGGGGGGAGTTAAAATGGTTCGCGAATGGAAGGTGTTGTTGTTTGTTGCAAAAATGGTCTCCGAGTCTACGCTTGGTCTCACCAATGTAGAGGAGGCCACATTGGGAGCAGCGGATGCAGTAGAGACCAAGTTGATGGATGTGCAGGTGAACCTCTGTCTGATATGGGAGGTTTGTTTTGTGCCTTGAATGGAGGTGAGGGGGTAGGTGTAGAGGCAGGTGTAGCACTTCCTGCGGTTGCAGGGAAAGGTACCGGGGGTGGTGGAGCTGGAGCGGAGTGTGGAGCGGAGAAGGGAGTCGTGGAGAGAACGGTCCCTACGAAAGGCAGGTAGGGGTGGGGAGGGAAATATCCATTTGGTTGTGGGGTCAGATTGCAGGTGGCGAAAGTGGCAGAGAATGATATGTTGGATGTGGAGGTTGGCGGGGTGATATGTGAGGACAAGGACGATTCTGTCTTTATTTTTGTTGGGGGGAGGGGATGTGAGGGCAGAGGTGCGGGAAATGCAAGAGATGTGTTTGAGGGCTGAAATTAAATAGTTGGGTTATAGGAACTTGGGATTTTTTATACTGGAAAATAAAAGTTCAGGATAATATAAAAGGGATATTTAATTACCTTCAAGATTGTAGACAATATGCTGTCAGAATTTTAGATACTTAAAGATTCGAAAGCAAATCAACATAACCCCAATCTGTTAAAATGAAGCATGAAAAAATTTCCATTGAACTATTTTGTGTCAATTATATAGTTATTTGACATTGGTTTTGGATAGACTTTATTAGCTTTTTCAAAGTGTAAGGTGAACAAATTCATACAGATGTTGGTGACAATTTGGAGCAGACTTTTCAGGGAGGCAATCAAGCTGATAATAAAACTTTTGAACTGTATATTCTGTTTAGGAACTCAGAGAACCGACCAGGTGGCATGAGATCGTTCTCAATCTGGACTACAGCTGTTCAATTTTTGACAGCAATAAAAGCTAGCCTTAGTTGTGCTGCTCATGTTCCAAAAGCAAACAATAAAAATATCTGTTGCAGAATTTAAGATCAACTAATTAAATAAAAATGGAATAAAAGCTGATTCCAGTCATAGCGGTCATGAAACTACTGGCTTGTCATAAACGCTCAACTGATTCACTAATGTCTTTTAGGTCTGGGCCAAACCTGCATAATATCATGTACAGACTGTATTAATGTCTCACAGCAGAGCATTTCTTCCAATTGTCTGAGAAACCCCTTGTCCTTGGTGCAAGGCCTCACAATGCTGAGACTGTGTGGTAGTTAGCATGCTAGGACAATGTAATACTGACAAAAATCATGCACAACCATCTTCCCTAGTAAATGATGTTTAGGACCTGGAATATCAGAATCTTTGTGGAAAACTCCAACAGAGACAGACCTGAAAGTAGCACTGCCATCATAGCTCAGGAACCCAGACACTTCAGCATCGATATTACTGCGCTATGTAAGACACAGCATGCAGGAAAAAGCCAGCTGAATGAACAAGGCAGTCGGTCCACAGTTTTCTGGAAGGGCTTTCCAGAAGGAGAACAGTGTTACTATATGGTGATCTTTGAGATTAAAAAAAGAACTTTGCATTTCAGTGACTCCTCCTGCTTTGTGGTTGCACTTCACCTCCAGCAAATTACCAGACAATCTACAGAACAGATGGGAAATGAGTCATCCTATGCAGTCTTCAAACTGGAAGAAAACCACTTTAAATTCTGTCATTGATCTTCAGTATGCAGATGACATTTCAATAAACAGTCCGTAAAGTAAGGTTCTTTTTCATCAATTCATTAACATCAATTGTGTGATCCTGGAAAACGTGAATCAATTTCAATACCTTGACAGCCTCCACACAACAAAAGCAGACATGGATGAAGAAATTCATCGTCACTTACAACGTTCCAGTTCTGCCTTTGGCTGATTGAAAAATGTGTATTTGAGCATAAGGATCTCAAAGCTGACACTAAGGTCATAGTTTATAGGGCTGCAGTGATCTCCACACTTTTATATGCTTTAGAGACGAAGCAAACTTACAGTTAATACCTCAAAGCGTTAGATAGATTTCACCAATGGTTGTCTTGAAAGATCCTTCAAATCCGGGGGAAGGCAAAGCAGTCTGGCTGGGTCACATGTATGCCTGACACCAGACTCCTGAAACAATTCAGAAACTGGGTCACAGCAGGAGACTCCCAGAAGGATTGCAGAAACAGTGTAGTGAAGACTTGTGACTGGCCAAAATGGAGAAAGTTTATTCATGAAGGCACCAAGTACATCAAGAGTGCACAAAACAGAAGCCAAAGGGTCAGACAAAGCACACAAGTCTCCAAACACCACCATCTACCTGCTCTTAAAGCACTAGAAGCCTGCTTGTGGCAGAGTCCACTGATAATGCATTGGTCATATCAGCCATCTCAAAACCATCAAACTGGAGTGGAAGTAACCCTCAATCCTGAGTGACTGCTGAAGAAGAAGATATGTGGCTCCTACCCAGAACAATTTGGTTGATCTTTAATGCCCTTTTAAATAGCATAAAAAATCACTTCATTACCAACACCGCCTTCTCAAGGGTAATTAAATATTTATTTTACCAGGAGCCCCCACATCCTGTGGCTAAATAAAAAGAAGCTTATGCTAATGTTGCAGCTAAAATCTAACACTGATAACAAAAATAAGTTCCCTTTACTGTAACTGCCACAGAGGCATATGTATCTCATGCCTGACCTTGTGTTATCCGCTGTGGAGCCAGTATATAATGTAATTCTTTGAATTTCGCAGAGACAGAAGCTATCCATTCACTTTCACAACTTGAGACTGACATTTTTGAGAGAAGAAATAATATTTAATTGTAATTGTCCTTAATCTTAATCATAGTATAATTATTTTGCACATCATGAATCACAGTGCATGAATCACAGAAGGTAGGTCTGCAGGTACAACAAGTAATTAGGAAGGCAAATGGAAGGCAAATGGAATTTTGTCCTTCATTGCTAAAGGGATTGAAATTAAAAGCAGAGAGGTTATGTTGCAGCTGTACAAGGTGCTGGTGAGGCCACACCTGGAGTACTGTGTGCAGTTTTGGTCTCCTTACTTGAGAAAGGATGTATTGGCACTGGAGGGGGTGCAAAGGAGGTTC